GCTCTGTTAGGCTCTAATATTTATACTCGCATAGTTAGCGTTTTTAACTCATGATTTTGAAATGTTTGCACACTCTGCATTGATTATTCTCATTAAAATTGATAAAAAGAAAAAAAAAAATATGTATCAATTTATCAAAGGAGAGTAATAATATAATGTGTTTCTTGTAAATATTAAGGTGGTTCCGTATCAACTTTAATGATTTCCAAAGTACTTAAATTTTTTAATTTTACATTTTGTGCTTTTACTGTGCTTGCAGCGAGGTGTGCGCGCAACCAAACGCTCAAAATTTGACGTATTTGACTCTAAAAGCTCGATGTACAAATGGACTCCATTTTGCAATTTGGAACTATAAATTCTGGCTCTTCTGGAAAAACACTTATGTGCGTAGGGAAACTAATGGCCTATACGTTGTTTTTAAACCGGGCTAGAATTTATAGTTCCAAATTGCAAAATGTAGTCCAAATGGGTTAAAAGTAAAGATTACGTGCTTCTTGGTTTTTTTTCCTCTTTTATTCATTTTTGCAGTTTCTTTTGGCACAACTGCGGCACATTGAGATTAATATTGATGCCATCGCTTGGAAAAGGTTTTACAAATATTTGTCACGTTTTAAAAATATAAATGTTTACAAAATGAAGTAATAATTTCGTAAAAAAAAAATTCAAAAAATAAAAAAAGTACGTATACATATGTAAGGTATATTGTACATCGAATATTTTAAAGATAGAAATAAGATCATATATTCACCAGTGACAATTTAAAAAGATAAATCAAAAGGAGAAAGTAACATTTCATTTAGAAAATGAGCAACCATAACAACACCTCCTTCTCTCTCAATTTCATATTGTCAATAAAATTTTACATACCGACTAAAATATAACGCTTGGACCAAGTCACTGTTGCTTATTTTACGTGTGGGCGTAAACTACTGGACAAAAAAGGTGCGCGGACGAAAAATCGTTGACAAAATGTCCTGAAACCGATCAAGTCTATTGATCGAAATTACGAATAACATTGGACTTAAAGAATCTGAATGGAGGTAACCGTATCGATCAACACATGAGAAAATACTCTTTAAGTCTCGGAGAATGATTCTCAAATGTCATCAGCAATGCACGAAGAGAAATCCACGCAACCTTCGTTTGAAAGTTGTTTACCCACTTCCATATATATCTTTTCATAATGATCACATACAGAAAATGTTTGCCAACAGGACTTGCTTACGTGCAAGCTTACATGACAAACACATGCTTTGCACGTATGAAACCTCGTTCGTTAATTTACTTGCTCCTCCCTTGTTCGCTTGCTCTGTGTTGACAACTAACGAATGCGATATTATTTGTTCCAGGTATGTGTATTTGTGCAGACAAAGTTTCTTCTGCTATTTTCCACTAACTGTCCTGCATGATCAACATTATGTGAGTATGAAACCGTTACAGTAAAAGAGCTTGGAATGAAAATCCGAAACAAATATCCAACCATTAAAATTTTGACCAATGACCTCTTGAACAAAAAATCGATTTATCGATAACAAATCATGAAATGGATCGCATTTAGCAAAAACGAACCAGCGCGATTACAGTGTTTTCAAAATCTTGCAACTTCTTTCCTTTTAAAAATACTCAATATATATACGGTATTAGAAATTGCGCAATAATTTTCCTTTAAAATTAACTTTTTTCATTGGGAAGGAAAAACTGTTTGCTGTACTGGGAGATTTTTTAGATGATTATGAAGAAGCAACGTTTCCACAACACTTTAACCGCGCTGGTTCCTTTTTGCTAAATGTGTTCCAAATAATATTTAAGAACAGTATGAAACTAAACAGCTCGGGATGAAAGCATTTATTCCAGTAAACGACTGAATGAATTTGTGGTATCCTCCTCTTCTGAATGAATGTTTTTTTTTTTTTTTTCAATTTTAAAATTAAGATTTCATTATTTCTGTGTGTTTCATGGAATTATGAGTCTATTGCAGAAGTTTAAAAAATATCTTGGAATTTCACAATAAAAAATCATTCGAAAACACCTCATGAAATTTCATTCTGTAAAATTTCATGAAATTTCGTATCACTTAGATTAAAGTGAAATTTCATTTTTCATGAAATTGAATTTTTCTGGAAAGTGAAATTTCATGTTTCATAGAATTTCAACGATTTTTCAACGGCTGGGGCACACATTGCAGAATTTCTGAAAAATTGCATGACATTTCATTTCATGCGGTTCATATTTCGCATTTCCACCGCCCCCCTCCCTCCTAGAGATGGAGCGGGTTTGCAGCTAGCGATAATTGTGTCATGAGGAAAATAAATTTTTAATTCTAGCGAGACAACTCTGTCTCTAAATGAGGCACAAAACAAAGAGCATACTCAAACTCGGGATTGCGAAATGAGCGAAAACATTTCCCCTCTCATCGAGATCAACGCGAAAAAGCCGAGGATGTTTCGGCGAGCTAGGCAGCTCCGCTTTTATGATAAGTGAAAATACGGACTTGAGTTTTGCCAGAATTGGTTTATGGTGAGAATTGAAAGCAATCGAACTATGACCGAGAGTTGGAGCCAATTTCTGACAAAACTGAGCACAGTAATGAACAACAAAAAGCGTTCCGGCTCCTTAGCTAGGGAATAAATTCCGACTCCCGGAATTGTCAGATCTTGCAAAAAACTTCCCTCTTCGAGACAGAATCTTTTTACTTCTTGGAGGGCTATTTCAGATGAGAAATTTTGAAGAACATAAGACAAACAACTTTGAAAAGCTGCAAATTGCTACAAGGTGGATGTTTCCTGGCCTACTTGAAAAATTGAAGGCGAAATAGGAGTGTGTGTTAGGTATACCTTTATACAATTATCCAGTCAGTTCAGCTTCCTTCAATTTTTTTATTAGAAAATGTCGTCGATCCTGAAAGCTTGTACAGTTTATTCCTCAAATTTATGACCAGAATTTTCGGTAAAACCTTATGGTAATAACATTTCTTTTCAATCAACTAATTTTCTACTTTTTTGGAGAAAAAGCGTGTTCAGAATTTGAACTTTTGCAATTTTCAGGAACAGAGACAAATGTTGTATAGAAAACGATTTGAGTTCACGGGTTTATAATCTGTAAAAAATAATATGAAATAATTAATCAATATGTGCCCTCCTCACTTTTCAAAAATGCATCAATTGAAAATATCCGAACAAGCCCACCCAGACGCAGTAAATTTGTGAAATTTTTATTTATGAAGGGCATTTGCATAATCCATCTTATCATATTTATCTATATCCTCTTTTACATGCCTGTAGCGTATAAAAAAGAACAGATAAGGAAAAACGATGGTAAAGGCACTCAACTTGCTAGGGGTAAATAATTTGCGGGAACTTTTGGAAGTGGCTATTGTGTTTTCGGGGAACAGATATTGCTAGACAGTCCAACGCCCATCATTATTCCTCTTTTTCATGACATCGAAGCTTGCACCGCCTTTTTCTCCGGTTAATACTTATACATGGCAACAGTGAGCGAATGTACCCCCGAATAAAAAGACTTAATGCTCCCGCTCTGGACCTGTAAACCGGCTTCAAATCAGGATTTTATACGAACCGTTGCTAAATTTCAGCGATTAGACAGAGATTACCCGTGCCAAATGAAGCGAATTAGTGGATTGTTAATTCAATCTGGCAACGGAGCTGAGGTCACTCCCGACTTTGGCCCCGAACCTACTCCTCGTCGTAAAGTCGGAAGTTTTTAATTAATATTCTCATAAATTTGCATCGGGCGGGCCAATCGGGTGGGCACAGCCCCCCAAAGCTTTCGCCGTTGAACCCCGTGGGGATTCGACCGCCCTCCGCCAAATCCCATTCCCGATCCATCACTCCCAGGGTTGCCATATCGTTGATTTTTTTCCCTAGATAAGTATCATCTCATGCGGACAAACGAGGACTATTTTGACACTGCAGTTTTGACAATTTGTGTTTAGTTGGGTTTCGGAGCGTTTGATGAGTCATCTGCGCACGTATTTCTTTTTATATAAGAGATTAACTGGACTGCATTTTGCAATTTGCAACTATAAATTCTAGCTTTTCTGGAAAAACACCTATGTGCATAGGTAAACTAATGACACATACGTTGTTTTTAAATCGGGTTAGAATGTCTTGTTCAAAATTGCAAAATGTAGTCCAACTACTGACTCTCAAAAAAATATAAATAAATAAACGGTCGTTTAAAAGTTTGGAAATCGCGAGATTTCCCGTGATAAAGTATTCAAATTTAAAATAATTTATGAATACTTTATCTTAGAATTGTTAGATACTACAGACTGAAATTCTTAGAAAAATTGAAAGAAAAATATTCACAGTTCTCTCCGGAAATTTTTGTTTTATCAAAGGTCTTTGGCAACGTCTGAAGGTTTATACGGCGCTTGTCCTCAGCACGGCAGTATGTTGGTCTTTCAAAAAAGTTAGTGGATGACGTCATCATCCGTAGTTTTGGATCTCTTCTTTGGCCTTTTTATGGTAATGAAATAGGAATATTTATGAAAATAAAATGTTTCGCTGATGAAAAGAAGGAATATAAAACTCTTTAATAGGGTTGCATCGGCTTGGTGAATGATGTCATTTGACCAACCTTTCTAAAGAACGATAACTTTCCTGTTATTTGATACGAAAAATTGGATGCACCTCATCACTTCTTTATCGCATAACCTATCCAGCAAAAGTAACCCATCAATAAAATGCCTAAGAATCATGATCTGCAAGAGTAAACTGTTGGACCAAATTTTCAGTCAAGGACTGAAAATTTTGAAAAAAGAGATTAAGAAAAATAGACAATTTTTGAGGTAGGACGACTGTATTGAATTTTGACAAAAAACGACCGGTTTGCGTTGGTTGTCTACAGAACAAGTCTAGATTCCTTAATTGAAAGTTCGAGGCAGGTAAGTGTTGCAAGCCTGTGATATCACTTGTTACGTCTGCGATTCAGTTATCAGATTTAATCAATTTGCTCACCGAAAACCTACGTACACAAAAACAGTCTCATCTGAAACTTTACCGTCAAGAGGTATGTTGCTGAAACTTTAAATACAAATGTGTAGAGTGTGCATTGTGGGAATAAGACACCAAAAATTTCAACTTTTGTAAATTTGTATTTCTCAAACGTGTGAATGTGTGTCTATTCTGCGAGATGTGTTGGACCCTCTTCAGAATTAAGAATATCAGAACAATCTGTTTGCATCATTCGCTTTTTTCCACTATATTGACTGTACTCAGCATTCAAGTGAGTATGGCAATCTCACTTGGATATCCGAAGCTTTTATCTCATTATAAAATCGGGTCATCAAATTCGTCAGGGTTTTGCTGGACTCGGAACAGTCAGCATTAACTGGATGGATTCAACCAGAATTAGCCTTCATTTCACTTTGCTAATGTCATTTGAATACCAGTTTTAAATATCCACTCTAGACGAAGCAATCTGCTTCAATATATTCATTAAGCTGTTGATTTACATGCGTTTAAATTGGCGGAACCCATTTTTGCCAACGTAAAGATAATCGAAACTGCAAGTTGGCTAATATTTTCCCCTGTCCTATTTTCTGACTTAGGAAAAACAATCTACATAACGCTTTGAAAATTTGGTTACTTTTTTACCAAGTTTCAAAAAAAAGTATATAGTAAAAGTTAATAGTAGGTAGAGTCCTAGCCTATTAAGTTTACGTACTTTTAGACTGCAACAGAGTCTCAGTCATCTTGCTCCTTCCAATTACTTTACGTGTTAAAGTGGCATCAGGCGATCTTCTGTCGCAGTCTAAAAGTGCGTAGACTTATTTAGCGTGGACTCTATGAAGAGTCCAGTTTTTTTGTATGAAAAAAAGTATAAAATACGAGATAAAATTCAGCAAAGTGTAATTTAGTCAAAGCGAATGGTTAAAACTATCCAATCAAGGGGGTAATTTGACAGCGGATCTACCCGCACACCAGTTAGAACGCAGCTACAGGCATTGCCATTGTCATTAGATGACACTGAGTGTGTAATGACTGTAAATGTTGTTTGTATTTGAGGGCTGCATCATTACAACACATTCGCAAATTGACCTTGTCAAAGATAACCTTTTTTTGATAATACGGCTAACAGCATGGAAATTATGTTTCCTCGTTACACCGGCAAATTACCAATAGGCTCAGAGGTCATCGATTATACAAAAAGCAACACTGAGCAATCAAAGAGCTTCATGGAGAAAAATCTCTCGATTTTACGAGGTGGCAAGTTTAGCAAGCGCTTTTTGGTGCAGAGAGAACTGAGCCATTTTTGGTTTGCATTTTGCAAGAAGGAGCCAAAGGCATTCCAGTGTCGCTAAGATTGTCCAACTTTTTTTTTACCTTGCAAATATAAACTGATCATTTAAACAAGTTTCATCTTTACTCCCAATAAATTATAATTTCAAGACGAAAATTACCTTTGTAAATTTAGTTTTTTGCATAATTTCAGGAATTATACCGCAAAGAATGTAAATTGCACAATCTTAGCAACATTGGATCGCTCTCGGTTTCTTTTTGCAAATGCAATCCATGTGAGCCAGGCAACCTCTGAATTGTTTGTATTTTTAAAAATGTCTTTAGACTCTGGTAACGAGTTGCACGCTCGGTCAATTAAGCTCGAAAGCTAGCTAAGCTAAGCTTCTAAGCTCTGTTTAGAACCAGTGACAATATTTTAATGTTTAATATTTTTGAGAAGCTCGACAAATATTAAGGACACTTTTCTTTCATAACCTTTGTATAATTAAGGAATTTAAAAAATACACACTAAAAAAAAAAACTCCGGCCATGGAAGCTGTACATATACTGGCTATATAGACATACCGTCCTCGGTTTGGGCTCAGAGGCCGAAAGTTCCGGGCATAGCACCCGGAGCAATCGAAGCTACGGCTCTACCACCCGGAGCAATCGAAGCTACGGCTCCAGCACCCGGAACTTTCGGCCTTTGAGCCCGGAATGGACGGTTTGTCTATACAGTCCGTATGTTTTTCAGAGCAGTGACTTGTATCCTCGTCTAATGCACAACCCCTATTTTTCTCTAGATGATCGACTGTCAATGGCCACCCCCACTTCCGGCCTCTTTCAAAGAGTTACGCGATAGTCAATTCTTCGTAGACAACACACATCTCATCCAAGACGCCTTGAACGGTCCTGACCACTCGCTGATTCGAGCGCGGCACGGGTTCGGGAAAACTACGTTCCTAGACATGGTACGACGCTTCGTCGAGCTGGACGTTTTCCCCAACGGCACGGTCAACACCGACAAACACACCCGCAAAAACTACGATTCTTTTGCCAAAATCGTCCCCAGCTCGGGTAGATTCCTCACCGTTTTCCAGAACAAGTCCTTCTTCGAAACCAACTTCGGCGCGTATCCCGTCATCTTCCTGGATCTGAATCTAAAGGGGGCCAAAACGCCCGATTCAACAGATCTCGCTCGCTACTTACTGAACGGAACCGTTAAAGCTGCATTCACACACCACGAGTACCTCATTAACTCGTCGTTCATACATTTCGAAGATAAAAACCTAATGAGTAGATTCCTCGTTCCCTCCGACAATGAAAACGTAGAAAAATACTCGCCGCGTTTTGCCATCACGCTTTTGAGAAAACTTCTGAGGCAACACTTCCAAAAAGACGTAATTCTGCTGATAGATAACATAGATGGCCCGTTGAGGGAGGTACTTTTCGACCCCGGACAAGACACCAACGCAACATTCGCGAAACTCGACGTTTTCGGAAGCATATTCGAAGAGGTGCCTGATGACAAGCCACCTCTTCTGACCCTCATGTCTTGCATCATCGTTCCGTATTACAGATGGCCTCAATACGTTACAAATTCTAGCATCCATCTCGATGGTTTTTTTGATGTCGAGATGACGTCACTGGCGAAACTTGCGGGTGTGGACCACGAAATTGAACAGATTTCGACTTGGTACGGTGGTTTTAGCGTGTTCAATCCGGAATCAATCGTCAGGTTTCTAAGCATCGCGATGAAAGAGTTCAAACCCTACTGGTCGGAGTTAGGATCGCTCGAGACATTCAAAGTGGCATTTGCGCCGCAGTGCTTCGGACGACAAATTTTAGAATGTTACCAGGAGTGTAAGTTGTGGATGTTAGGGGGCGCGGACATCAGTGGTATGTCGACAAATATCGTGCGAAAACTTAAAATTTTGCAGAAACTCAACTTTCCAGTGCAGGCAGCCGAATGTCCTCTAGATACTTTCCCCCATTTCATTGGCCTGTTAGAGAACCTCGGATATCTAACGTTCACCCGACGTATCAGTCGATCTTCAACGAGTCCTTTGACGTTCAGTGCGTTCAAAGTCCCAAACCAAGAGGTGAAAGAATATTTCGCCAGACTCCTGTATGAGGCCATCAGACGTCAAATTCCGTTGAACGGGGATGTCAATTTCAGGCAAGAATTATTTGAGGCCATTGCAGGGGTTGACGGTTCTGAACAACGAATGCGTAGATTGACCAGCGCGCTGGTGACTTTACTCTTGGCCTCGGAGCGCCGGAACCAAACTGCCGATGCGACGCTAGCGCATTCTATCAGGGTACATTTACTTCATCCTCCACCCGAGTTCAAAGTTCCTTATGTAAAGACAAGCCGCAGCGAGGAAGACTCGAAAAATCAGTCGGATTTTGACTTGGTTTTCGTTTTGAAATATATGACCGCAACGTTAGGTTATGTCTTGAAGATTGAATCGGATGTACAACCGACAGTGAATCGGACTTTGAATAGCGCATATCTCGATGTTTTCTCGACGAGAAAGTTTGACAATGTTTTCAATGCAACTGTGATAAAAGTAGCTGCAAATTTGCGGTGTGGTATTTGTGATGTGAGTGGTGAACATATTTGTAGGTTAAGTTACCTGTTTAATGACACGCATCTGGAGCGGGAAAAGCAAGTTGATGTGAAGAAACATCAAATAGCGGAGGAAGCAAGAACTAGATGGCAAAAGTTTTGAAATTATTTTTTACAAAAGAATAAAAGGAAACTCAGCTGTAAAAAATTACGAACTTAGTCTTGTTGCAGTTGAAGTAACAAAAAATGTCAGCGATTATTAGGGTTTTAATCATTTTTGACACCCAGGAAATCTAGAAACCGGTGTTAGATTGGTGTCGAAGTTATTCAGGCATCTGGTTACATTCAGAAGCATGGCGTGCTTTGCGATATATCGATTGATCTGCCATTTAAATCTACAAAAAGGGATCGATTAACGGGATGTTGGCGACGAACACCTTAATAATCGATTCTTTACCATAGCTTCAAATGGGGAAATATCGATATTCGATCATAACGCCTCGCCCCTAGTTAAATTTACAAATCACGTACTTACACATGGTGACATGATTTTAAAGTTTAGAGAATGTCTGAGCTAAATATTAGAGTGCAGAAATACCGAGGTGCTCACAGAATGCATCTTGTCTATTTTAACCCCTCGAATTTTTAACAACGTCTGCTATTTTTGGCCGTATTAATTTTGGCTCGGTTTGCAAACAGAACCTCTCTTCTCCCTGTGCTCGAATTTTGAAACCTCGCGCTCTGTTAGGACAACAAGAGGGGTCGCTTGAAAGTAATAAGAAGCAGGAAAAGGGACCGAGCGGGTTTGCCGTGCAGCATAGAAAATCTGAATATTACTCCACGATGAAAAAGTTAGAATCGGACCAAGATGAGCTCTCAACTCTTGCTTACGGACTCAGGGGTTAGAGCTACCATCATTTGTCAGATGAGAACATGGTAAATTTGGAAAGAGGAAAAGAAAAAAGAGAGAAGAGAGATCAATAATGAAGGCTGTTTAAAGTGCACGTTACATCTCATCTGAAATTGTCGATGAAAACAGGCATTAGACCACTAGACCAGATCTGCACTAAATAAAAAGTCGCATGTTTTTTTTTCCCCCAAAATATTGCGTAGAAAACAATTCAAACATGAAGTTCAGAAATCGACTCCTAAACGAGCGGTGTAACAAGTATTAAAATTGTTTATAGTATTAAAAATTAAATTATTAAAATTCCGTCATTTTTAATGTTTCTATAAAACCACACTCGTAAACAAAATGTATCCTGTTAACACGTTGATTTCCAGAGAGTCCCCGTTTTATGATTATTTTTTCTCGTCAAAGAAGAGAGAACATGTCGCATATTTCATTAATTATTTCCTACCATGCCTTCCCTGGTAAAATTTGGCGATAAGAGCTGCGTTTCAAAATACCATAGGAATTCTTAGAGAGGAAAATAGGAAAGAAGACTACAGAAAATCATATACCTGGCTGTAGAATGCGGAGAAAATCATACGGCCGGGCTATACGAAGCGATAAAAAATTATGCAGCCGGGCTATGGTTCCTATCGCCGGGCTTTGCACTTGATCGCCTGGCTGTTGCTTTTTCGCCATCGATTATAAAAGGCTATAAGAAATTGTGTAGAAATTCGTGTGCTTTGGAAATCATTAAGTTTGATACGGAACCACCTTAATATTTACAAAACACAAATTATATTTTCCTTTAATACATATTTTTTTTTTCATCAATTAAAATGAGAATAATCCACACAGGATGTGCAAACATTTCAAAATCACGAGTTGAATAACGCTGGCTCCGCCAGATTAAATATTAGAGCCTAACACAAAGTGGAGCGGCGACGCACTGGCGCCTACAAACCTAACAGGGATACTTCACGCATTGCGCAACGCGTGAAGTATCCCGGTTAGGTTTGTAGGCGCCGATGCATGTTTCGCGCTGGCTGCCCGCCTGCCACGGCGCTTGAAGCAGCTATTTCACACCAGAGGTATTGCACAGTATCATACGAAATTGAAGGCGCTCCAACATATTAGTAATGGCAGGCATCCATCAAAAGTACGGAGCTTTCCTCGCAAAATAAATCAAGATACTACGGCCCAAAGAGAGAGCAGTTTTCCAAAAACTCACTAAGTCCTAGCATCCGTAATTAGTAACGTTTAGTATACACTTTATCGCCTGGCTGTTGCTTAATCGCCATCGGCTATAAAAGGCTATAAGAAATCGTGTAGCCGGCTATAAAAGCTATTGGAAATCTTACAGCCGGCTGTAGGTCTATGGTATTTTGGAACACAGATTCTACTGCCAATTTTTACCAGGGTTGGGGCCCATTGAACGTACCAAGATGCAACTTGTTGTCATTTTATTTAAACGACGAAACTAATAATGAATCTATTTCGGTTGATCCAGCATCAGTAGTAGCTTTAAAGTACATATAGAGAAACTCAACACAAAAGTTTGGTCATTGCAGGAAGTAAAACACAAAATAACCCAAGCCTTTGGTTGACTCAAGGGGTTCCCGGTCTCTCCATCGTTTTTTGCGCTAAATCCTTCGCCGACTTTACAAAAATCAACACAAAATTTGGGTCGGTTTGTGTTTCACCTCCTATACTAACAAAAAGTAACACACATATTTTTATCAGTGTAGATTAGCAATACACAAGTGATATTGTGCAATCAACGGTAGGAAGGTAATAAGGTAGTGTGAAACACATTCGAGCTACATCCAGAATCAAATATACCAACTACACTGCCGTCCTCAGCAAAAACGCCGTTACTATATTTTAGATTTTTTTCAGCTTTTTACCTAAAAAATTATTTAATACTGAAAAACTAACGAACTCTATCCCTCTCAGTTCCAAGATAACTGTGGGGTACCACTGAGAATTCAAAATGGACAAAGTGAAACATCTCAGTGATGATCAGGTTTTCCCGTAATAGAACAGTATATGCGGAAGAAAAATGCACCGTGTTGATTGGACTTACGGCGTTCCTCCTATGGACGGCAGCCCTGCCGGGCCAGGAAAAAACGCCGTATGAGCCTTCAGGCGTTGCCAAATTTCTCCTGGCAAATCATTTGCTTTCAGGGAAAGTTTTGAATGTTTGTCCACCAATTTCGCAGATAATTTTGTTTGTAATTTGATCTGAAAATTCTGAAAATTTCAAGAAAAAATGTTCATAAATGTCCTCAAAAATAAACATTTTATCGAAGGAAATTTGGCAACTCTCCAATGTTCATACGGCGTTTCTCCTTAGCACGGTAGAGTACAGTACTATTATAGCATGCAGAGAGTTACATGCTGAATTCTTCCAACTTCGTATTTCACCTCAAACTTCACCTCCAGCATTATCAACGGATCTATCGGCTGTTGAATCGTTCTCGGAAGCGCTTTAAACCCGGTTAAAGTTCAAGCAAAAGTTTGCTCCAACCCTATTTTGAGGCTTTTGAAGTGCGCTTAACGTTATATTTACTATCGCTTTTGAGCGAAGAGCAACTCCTTTCAAATTCTATCGAAAGTTTTCTCAGGACCAATTGAACCGATAATTTTTCAAGTCACGTACCTAAGCGCCAAAATTGTGAATGAAAGAAAGACAAAAAAACAGTTTTATTCGCTTTGTTGACAGCCTGCGGATTCCAAAAAATTGTATATAGGTTCTTTTAGAAGGTTAGTTTGAAATCAGACATGATTGAATATACCAGAGAAAACAAAGAAAAACAACCACTCTACCACTAAAATAAATTGAAAAAAATAATGTGTTGTTTTAGCACCTAGGATGTCAAAAATGTGTCTGGTAATTCCAAGATGCTACCTTTACATCCTGTGAATGCAAATTCAACTGCGTGAGGAATCAAGGCAGCATGTTAGGATCACCAGACACATTTTTGCCATCCTAGATGCTAAAGCGCAGTATACTGTTTTTCCAGTGTAGAAATTGGCCCTAACGTAAATTGGAATATAATCGGTTCAATTAATCTTTTTCGAACTCGACCCGACAACACGGCGCGGCAGCCAGTTGGCGGGCGGCCAGAGAGCACTTTCCATGTCACTCTAATCTCATTCTTAACTCGCCGTGTAATCACCGGCGTATAACTCGCGCCCTTTTTTGCCATCATATCCCCATCCCCGTCCCCCGCCCCTCCCTCTCGCGATCCTATCCTCTCCTAATTTTTAATATTGGCTCTGGCGCCCTCCACCCCCACCCCTCCGCGGCCCGGGCACACCCCGAGCCCGGATTTTTATGAAAGCTAATTTCTGTCAGAACTTTATTTTCACTTGCTTCGGTCGAATTCATTTCCGTCCCCACCTTTCCCTTTTACTTTTTTAATCTGGGTTCCGCGGGCGAGTCCAGAACTTGGAGCCGAGTCCGGAAACTTTCGGGGCCCCGCGATAGGGTACGCTTCCCTCGCCGAAGGATTTTATCTCCCCTCAAAGTGATAGCCGGGAATTTTCCGCGGAGAGACACGTGTCCGCACGAGGGGGATGATAGGTTTCGCTCGCGAAATTGCAACTCTCCATGCAGTGTTTATCTTCGGTCTGCAACTTTCCCGACGCGACGCTCCTAGCGGGGGAAACGAATTAACACGTTTACAGAGATACGAACGAAATCGTTCGTTTTTGGAAATCTCATGAAAAGTGGTGCCCACACGGCTAAATTCAATATATGCATATTGCGAATTTTGCGTTTGGGAAAGCCTTTTCCCCATGGATGGTCACCTACGAGCATTCTCCGAATGCACAATTAATGTAAATTTTGCAACCTTTCCTTATGCAAAGCAATTTTTGAACTTCAGCAAGCGTTAATGGACCACTAGACAAGGTACGAATCTAAGCATTCTGATACGTGTCTCTTAACCAGAATTTCACGTAAAACACGATTCGCGCAACGAAAATTGCTGAAACCAACTCCTAACGAAGATATTAACGTTTTTATTTCACATTGGTTACGAGGAATTTGAACTGCCCGCTCACAAGAGACTCAAAGCTCTACGTGTGTCAAATGGCGCACTACAACGGTTTCAGCAAGCTTCTCAATCGAGCAATGTTCATTTCCCACCATGTGTTTTTCAAACCGTAAGTAATTTGCAATAGCTGAGCCAAAGCGTCAAGATGGAGGTTGCCAGATTTTTATATCGCAGAGACGTTCATGATAACGTTTAGCGCGCGATGTGAACCACGTCGAGCATTCAGTTTTTATGATCGGGTGGTTTCAATTCACGCACCAAGAATCATGAAATATCTTCGGAAGGAGTTGATTTCGGTAATTTTCGTTGTGCGCATCGTGTTTTACGTGAAATTTTGGTAATGAGACATGTATCAGAATGCTGAAATTCGTACTTTGTCTGATGGTCCATTGCGGAAGGTATAGCGTAATAACGTTTCATTTTCGCCAGACAAAAATGAATTTTCCAGATTCCTAGAAAAAAACGCAATTTTTTTGTAGCAACTGTGTTTTTGTCACTAATTTTTTCTCAGAAATAACAACTAAGCGCTGCCCCAACACTTAAGGTAAAATAGCGGCAACTACAAGAAGTAGGGTTGATCCCTACAGTCTGTAGGGCTGGAACCTGAAGCAGTAGGGCTCAGCCATTTTACCTAAAGTATTATGGCTCAGCGCTTAATTGTTATTTCCGAGAAAAAATGAGTGACAAAAACACAGTTGCTACCAAAAAAATTGCGCTCCTTTTTAGGAATCTGGAGAATTCATTTTCGTCTGGCTGAAATGAAACGTTATCACGCTACCTTCCGTGATTAACGCTTGCTGAAGTTCAAAACTTGCTTTGCATAAGGAAAGGTTGCAAAATGTACATTAATTGTGCATTCGGGGAATGCTCGTATGTGACTATCCATGGGGAAAAGGTCTTCCCTCCCCAAACGCAAAATTTGCAATATACACACAAATATTTGTCAAGTTTAATAAAGAAATCGGATTTTGAGACTGACGAAATTTTTTCCCTCGGGTCCTAAAGAATACAGAAAAAAATTGTTGCTCTAACAATGCAAATAGTTGATTTCTGTTCTTATTTTTTAGTCATAAA